GGACGCTCACCCGGGGACTTACTGTGTATAGTGTAGACTGTACCAAGGCAGAAACTTTCAGGATGCCAAGTGCTACTCGGTCTTGAGATGCTGTTTCTCAGACCCTGTGGTCGGCCCGAGTGCATGGAGAGGGGCTAAGAGAAGCAGGCAGCAGGCAGCTCAGTCTACTCCACCTCGCCTCCTGCCCCCATGACTGCTTGTTTGGCTCTTTCCTCAAAAGCCATAAAGAACTGTTAAGAAAACTGAGAAATGGGGCTGGAGACGCAGCTCAGCAGCTGAGAAAGCTTGTTGCTCTTCCAGAGGACCTGGGTTCATTCCAAGCTTCCATATAAGCAGCTTACAAACTATCTCTAACTCCAGTGCCAGGATGATCAGGTATGCTCTTCTGGCCTCTGAAGGCAGAGAGCATTGCACACACATGGTGCACAGACATGCATACAAGCAAATCCCCCATACACATAAAAATTAAATTTTTAAAAATGTAAATGAGAAATTATATGAGAATTCAGTTCCTCAGCTCTGAGAGGATGAAGCTCCTAACAAGAGGGGCCCCCTGGGTGTGCAGGTTCACTACACACCCCAGAATGCTTGGGCCAGCTCCCCTGCAGGAAGCAGCCCTGTCCCCTGTGCTCTGGACTGGCCCAACAGTTGCTGTCTCATCTGTTCCCTTGACAAGGACAGCAGTGATTGTCTGCAGTGCCCTTTGCTGTTGTCAGGCTCTGTGCTAGGTCCAGGAATACCAGGGAGATAACACAAGTGGACAGCCTGTCTAGGGGCTGTGCCAGATGACCAGAGGAGGATGGCCTTCAGACAGAGTGCTTAGGAGGATTCTGTGAGGAATCTTAAAGAGCCCTGGTCAGGCAAGTGTCTCAGGCTAGGGACAGAATGTGGACACTGTTCTCTGTTCGGGAAGAAATACCTCAGGAACCACTCAGCTGGGACGCTTGGCCCAAGTTCTTCCATGAGTAAGTTGTGCCCAAAGTGTGCCAGGAGGCATAGGCTTTTTTTGTTCTCTTAATTAAAGCGGAATTTGCATAATATAAAGTGAGCCATTTTAAAGTGAACAGTTCCTTGGAGCTGGGTAACTTCCCTTGTTCGCCAGCCTTCTGTCTAGATCACCAATATTTCACCTCTATGAAAGAAACCCCTTGCTCAGGATGCAGTCAGTAGAGGCCGTGGTGGCTATCCTTTCATCGCTGTGACCACAGTCCTGTTTGCAGTCCTATGCACAGCCGGAGGGAGTCTCATATGCAGGTGCATTCAGAAGTCATGACCTTGTCACACCTGAATAGTGTGCTGCCCCGAAACAAGGCTTCACCTATATCAGAAAAGCCGGCAGCAGCTCAACCCAGGCCAGAGATGTTAAAGTCAGAAGCCAGTGGGGAGATAGTTCCGAGAGCAGAGGGAAGGATGCTGATGCCCACCTCTTCCTCTTTTTATTCAATATGGGACCCAGCAATTGGAATGGCATGGCCCACATCCAGGGTGGGTGCACACACACACACACACAGAGAGGTATGTTTCCATGGTAACTCTAAACCCAGTTACGTTGATAGAAATGAACCATCACAGGTATCATGGCTTCAGACTATGTCATCAGTGGTCTAAGAGGGCAGTTGGCATGTAAGGTGGAGTTAGGCTAGCTGACCAAGTGTGTGCGCCAATAAGGTGACTTAAATAAGATCATCAATTAGTATGGTTTGAATGAAAATTGTGCCCCATAAAGTTATGTGTTTGAACTAGCTGGTGGCACTATTTCAAGAAAAAGTAAAACTCCTTGAGGATTGTGCTTCCATTCTGTTCTGGGGAGGGCTGAGGAGGTGTGGAGTCCCGACTGTGCACTCTGCAGCTCTAGAGCCACCTGCTGCTGTGCCTTGCTCTCTGTGTGGATCTGTGCCCTCAGACTGAGTCCAGATGAGTCATCTCTCCACTTGTTGGGTTTGGTCACAGTGCTGAGGAAAGTAGTTATAACAGAGTCTGTCTGGCCACCTGTGCGGTTCTTGCATAGAGCTCAAAGTATTTCAAAAGCAAGAACATCATTTAACTGAAAACATCATTGTCCCAGGTCTGCTAGCATTCCTTCACCCCACTGTCCCTAGAAACATAACAGGATGGGACATAGCCTCACTCCCCGGCCCAGAACTGAATGAAAGGAACTATGAATGCCACACCCAGCCTTCAGTGCCTGGAACTTATGCAGGCTCTGCATGCTTGCTAAGCTACCAAGCTGGGGATATTTGCATGGTTGGCGTGGCTGGCACACATGCCATCTCAGCTATAAACCTTAGTATTTACCATATTGTTCTTGATATTTCTCCCTCCATTGTGACTGCAAAGAAAAGAAAGAAAAAGAAAACCAGAAGAGTCAGTCAACATCATTAAAACTGATGTTTGTCTTTCCTTTAACCTAGTCCTTAACCTTTGTGCCCTCTGCGGCATAGTACTGAATTACTTCTCCAGACCCCACAATGACCCTCAGGATTTCTCAAGCCTTGCCGCGTGGCATCCTGCAGCTCAGAACCTGGTCTTTGGTAGTGAACCCTTCCTGGGAGTGGAGCCCCTTGCCATGCTTTCTTAAAAACTGTTCTATGCCATGGGAGTCATTTTTGACTGTATGTGGCAAGCTTATCAGGGTCTCGGGCAGAGTGTGAAATGGGGATTTTCTGAAGCACAGACTTAGACTGTGCTACCATGTTTTTACCCTCCCTGGAAACAACCTGCCATGCAGTCTTTGTCTGAGCTTGCAGACACACACAGCAGCAGAGTCTGAAATGGACAGTTGGAGTGATGCGTGGGCTGCCAGTCTCCCTGTGCACTTTACATGGCCTGTTTGTAGTAGTGAGAATGAGCTGACCCACATGGTGGGGCTTCACCCAGCTAGAGCACTGCCCAGATACTTTGGGTTCTTCGTCCTCTCTCCTCTGCTCCGTTGTATCTCAACAATCAACCTCCAGTGCTGACCTATCCTGGGCTAAGGACTGCCACCACACGGATGTCAGTGTTCTCCTTAGAAGGAAGGACAGGTAATGGTGAGGTCTCTGTCTCCTCTGAGGGGCAAGTAAGACTTCCTGCTAGAGATTGTCTGTGTTGTCAGATAGAGGGATATCTAAGAAAATAATGTACTACAGAATCTATCTTAATCCTCTCAGTAAAGCTTCAGCTAATCATGTCCCATGGTATGGGTGTGGCGTGATGTCACATCAGGGAGCCTGTGCTCCAAGCTTGCAGAAGAGGCTGGTGGCAGGAAGAAGGTGCATCCAGCATCCTGTCCCAAGGGCAGGATGTGTTATCCTGCTTCATTCCCTTCCCACAGTCACTCCACAGAGACATCAGAGCTGGGGCCACTCTGTTCAAGGCTAGTCTGTCCTACACAGCCTTCTGAGCGATAGTTAGTGTTGGGACTTAAAGCTTCAGATAACAGGGCTGCTTGGCTGCCCTTCTAAGCTTTGCTTTTTAGGACCCACCCTTTCTCGCTTCTGTTTTCCTGGCCCCCACATATGTGGCATATGCTTCCTGATTCTGCTGGTAGTGGATGCTGACAGAGAGAGCATGGAGGGGACTCTCCTGTACCTGTCCACCCAGTAGACAGCCACCATGGGCTTCAAGGGCAGATTATTGAGAAAAGCCTAGCCCAGGGCAGTAAGTTCCCATGGTCAGGAGGGTGGCTCACTGTGACAAGGAGGTCCTGTCCTCTGTATGAGGGGACTTCTCCGGCGAATCACCCACTTCCCAAAGCGCTTGACTTAGAGTAGACTGCATTAGTACACCCTGTTCTGAGCTGAGACTCCCTGGCCACTGAAGGACTTTAGCACCCCCCACACACACCGTCCACTGCTGAGGGCACCTTCCCTTTCCTAGCACCATTGTGTTGCTTCAGGTACTCTTAAGAGGGCAGGAAGCCCCAGAGCTCTTTCCCTCTAGTAGAAGGGGACCAGCACCTTGTAGAGCAAAAGCAAACTTACCCATGTATTTTTACTTCAGGAGCCAGGACAGTGGAAGGCAGGCCACTGTTACATTGTCCAGAGGCCAGTGCTCAAGTCCCTCAGAGCCTCGCTCCTGTGGCTCTATAGCAAACCAGTCCTGAGGAGTGAAATGCCTGCCTTTTGTCTGAGGACACTGACTGTCAGCAAGCCTTTTTCTATCGTACTCATTAGACTCCGTGCCCAAGTGCAAGGCAGAGGCTGCTTGGGGGACAGCTTACTGTGAGGCTATGACTGCCAACAGGTGCCTGTCATTTACTGCACTACCCCAGAGGCGCCTTGCACTTCATCCTAGGGCGAAGCAGCTTTTTATAGCCAGCGAGTTTCCAGCAGTGTGGATTCAGAGAATAAAATATAGAAATAAGGGGATCCTCTGAAAGGCCAGAGCCACAGAGCCAGCAAAGGCTTCAAGCAAGTTCGCATTTTCCTGCCATTTAAACTCTGCTGGGGCACTCACTGTTTTGACCTTTAACCCCCTCAATTCAAAACAGTGTGCATTTCCCCCAGCATCTGGGG